TTTAAGGCAGGATAACTCTTGAATCTGCCCAAGGTGAGTCTGATTCCCTCACTCCCAAACTAATATTTCATGGTCCAAAGACAGTAACTCCTGGAAGGCTGTCTGGTCTGCTACAGGAGCTGCTACAGGGCTCCCACTAAAAAGGAATGGCTGGTGCTTCCCTATATATTTTTGGGTCAATAGATGGCAAGTGTGGCTCAGAATAGTCTTGTGTAATTATTTAGTTGTGACTATAGATGCCCTCCTCCCTTTACTGGGTATTGTAGGCATTTATTCAGTTGCCTCTCAGTTCTTAGAACATTTGGTTTTAAAATCTAAAGCTAGAGAGTAATTCGATAACCTTAAAATCAGGCTGAAAATGTTTAAGCACTTGGGGCACATGGATACTTGAGCTTTCTTTTTCCTATTGCTGACAGGCCACTCTTAACAGCTATTGACTCCATAGATTGTTGAGAGAAAGACTCAACTATGATACTAATCTCTGAAAACAGTAGTCTTATTTGTGAATGGTGGAAAGAACTGTTGGTTCTTAGCTCTCCTCTAGTCGTAGATGGGTCCTTTGGGCCTCATTGGCAGTTTCCCTCATATCCTATGAGTCACAAAGTTTTGCTGATTGTTCCTTTGTAATGACTCATTCCGTCCCTTCTTTTCCATTCACTCTGCTATCACCCTGAGTAGTATTACAGTCTTTATCACTTCATATATGAATTACTGAACTGCTGTCTTGGATGTGTTCTCTGCTTTTCAGTTTTGCCTAATCAGAGCTGCACCATGAAATCCCAGACTGAATTTTCATGGTAGAACTTTGTCTAGGGTTTTCAGACTATAGCTCTTCCTTGACATACAATGGGGTTACATCTCAGTAAACCCTATTGTAAGTTGAAAATGTTGTAAATCAAAATGCATTTAATGCACCTAACCTACAGAACAGCATAGCTTAGCCTTGCCTACTTTAAACACGCTCAGAACACTCACATTAGCTTATAATTGGGCAAAATCATGTAACACAAAGCCTGTTTTATAATTTATAAACATATGTGTATGTTTTATATTTTATAATAAAGTGTAATTTATTGAATACTGTACTGAAAATGAAAAACAGAAAGGTTGTATAGATACAGAATGGTTGTTGAGTGTATTGGTTATTTACCATAGTGATCATGGGGCTGACAGAGCTGTGGCTCACTGCCACCACCCAGCATCATGAGAGAGGATTGTACCATAGATTGCTAGCTGAGAAAAAGATCAAAATTCAAAATTTGGAGTACAGTTGAATGTGTGTTTTTTCGTATCATTGTAAAGTCAAAAAATCATTAAGTCAAACCACTGTAAGTTGGTAATCATCTGTATTAATGTGTAGTCCAGATTTTCCTGGAGCATGAATAAGGTCCCGGGAAATAGTGAGAAGGAAGACTTGAAAGGTAGATTTAGAGGAGATGTTGGCTAAGAATTCCAGTTATTTTGTAGGCATTAGGGACCATTTCAGTAAATGACTTTTTAGGGCTGGAGAGTGGTTGATCAGGGCCAGCTTTCAGAAAGATTGATCTAGCAACACAGTAAAGGAAAAATCTACTAGAAATGAGAATAGTGGGACGCCTGGGTGGCTCAGTTGGTTAGGCGACTGCCTTCAGCTCAGGTCATGATCCTGGAGTCCCGGGATCGAGTCCCACATCGGGCTCCCTGCTCGGCGGGGGGTCTGCTTCTCCCTCTGATCCTCTTCCCTCTCGTGCTCTCTGTCTCTCATTCTCTCTCTCTCAAATAAATAAATAAAATCTTTAAAAAAAAAAAAGAAATGAGAATAGTTAGGAATCTTGTAAGAGGACCCAAAGTGATCTGGGAATGGAAAGGATGGGACAGATCAGGTGTCAACAGTGTAACAGAAAAGTTGGTAACTGTGAGAGGAAAGCATGGAGGACCTCACGGAGGGCACATTGTATGGATTTATGACAGGTCCATTGGACTGAATGACGAGACAGTCTGCCAGGAATAGAGAAAGTAATACTCCTCACACATTACTACCCCTTATATCTTTATGTGTTAACACTCTTATGCAATTGCAAACACATTAAAGGCCAGAATCATAGCTTACTTTTTATCATCCTTACACCTCTACTTCCAGCAGAAAACCTAATGGGGACAGAGTAATCTCCTCTATGTTTTTATTTTCTCCGTATAAAGATGTTTAGATCCATCAAGTTATGTAAGATAGTTCTGCCTACTGTCAGCAGGTGGAACCTCTGTTATCTGTCTTCCTGTTTTGTTTTTACATTTCTTTCATTGTAAGATATAATTAGGGTGACCGGGGTGTGTGTTTTCTCTGGGTAGTCCCAATTTAGACCTGTTCTTCTCATACAATAACTGATAGTACCTTTCTTCACTCTCAAAAGTTTGTAAATTCTGTGGTCTCTCTACATACATGTACGGAAAAGTGCTAAGTTTGTATTAGTCAATTTGACTGTAACTATAAAGAATACATCTGTGTAACTACCCCTCCAGTCAAGAAATGCACCACTGCCAGCCACTGGAAGTCTATTTCCTATTCACAACTCTGTCTCTCTTCCTTAGAGTTAACCACTATGCTGATTTTTATAATAACCATTTCCTACTTTTTAAACTAATGTAAGTTAAATTATTAAAGCCAAAAATGCCCTACATGGATTTCTTTCCAATTACCATTCTTTTATTTATATTTATATTTTTATTTATTTTATATACTTTAACTGTGGGTAATTTCATATGTATGTTGCCAATAGGTGTCTTTAAAAGCATATTTGTATTTTAGTATATGACTACAAGGTTGTAAGCAATCATCCTGAAGATAAATGTTGTATTTTCATTATTTATTTATTATACAAATTTAATGATGTAATGAACAAGACAGAGCTCTTGGCCTCAAGACTGAGAATCTAACAAGCAATTACAATACAAATTATTCAGTGTAATAATGGGAGCATGCACAAGATGTTGTAGGACATTACCCAGCCTTAGGGGTGATAGGGAAGACTTTTGACAGAAGGTGATGTCTTGTTTGAGTTTGAAAAACAAGTACGAATTATGCGGGTGAAGATGATGGGTGAAGTGAGGGCAGAGCGCAGGAATCACTTTCTAAACAAAGGAAATAGCACAGAGAAAAGAAAGTTTGGCACAGTTAGGTTACTGGAAGTTGTTCCCTGCAATTAGAACACAGAGTGTGTTCTCTGTGGTCTCCTACTGGGGGAAAAGGGTTTCTTTTGGGTCACCTTATATTGCAGAGCAGTGTTAAGAGATGCAGTTGAAGGTAGAAGACAGATTATGAAAGGTCTTAAATATCATACTGAGTTTGAACTTGTCCTGAGGGCAATGAATCAGCTGTGAAGCATCTAATAAGCAGGAGGTGAATAACATGGCAACATGTTCATATTTGCATTTTTAAAAGTTTGTTTTTATTACAGAATTAGAGCATTTAAGTAGGCAATCCTAAAGGCAGTAAAAATGGACTGGGAACCATTGTAGTCATCCACATGTGAAATGATAATGGTTTGAGCTAAGCCAGAGGAAATGAGAAGAGAGAGAAGTGGATGGATTTAGGATACAGCTGGGGACAAAATCAACAGGGTTTTAATGATTGATTATATGTGGAATTTGAACAAGAGATAAATAAAAGATGCCCAGATTTTGCCTGGAGGTGGGGAGCAAAGACAGTGACACAGGATTGTAGAGGAAATTTCTAGTGCAATGTTGAACTGGTTGAGTTTGAATTATCTGTGGGACATCAAAAAGTAAATGACTGTCAAGCACTTGGATATATGGGTTTGGAGCACTGAAGAAAAATCTGGGGTAGAACTAGACATCAGGGAACAATAGCTTCTAGGTGGCAAGGGAAGTCATGTTTTGGACCTTAATATGATATAAAATTTCTAAGAGGAAAAATGTGAATAAATTGTCTTCATTGTCTAATACCATAACATTTTTAGGGAGTTAGTCTTTAGTGTTAAAGCTTCGAGGAAGTACTTACACAAAGTGTTTTCATGATTTTCTTTAGTTTTTATCAGTTTGTTTTTTGGTCAGTATTATTTAGCTCTTTGGGTTTTTTCCCCCACATTATCCAGGTTTAAGCTTTAACTGCAATATGTGTCAACTATCAAAATAAATAAAACAAAACGAAATTTTTTTTAAAGATTTTTTTATTTATTTATTTGACAGAGAGAGACACAGCGAGAGAGGGAACACAAGCGGGGGAGCGGGAGGGGGAGAAGCAGGCTTCCCGCTGAGCAGGGAGCCCAATGCGGGGCTCGATCCCAGGACCCTGGGATCATAACCTGAGCCAAAGGCAGATGCTTAACGACTGAGCCACCCAGGCGCCCCAACAAAATGAAATTATTATAGAACCTTTGGAATTAAAGCAACATACATACATTTATTAGGATTTAGCAGGTTAGGAGAAATACAGGGTTTATATGTTTAGATTTCTCCCAGTTCTAGAAATAAAATGTGTATGGAAAACACTTACAAAAAAGTATATTTTTAAATAATTTAAATAGAGAGTATTTGTTAGTAATTTTCTGCTTTCAGCTTATAGATACTTCAAATTTTATAAAATCAAATAATTCAGATTTATATTTCTTATAATAGAAATATTCTCAGATGTAAATATAGAAATGTAACTGAATTTTTTAGTGTTACACTCTTCTATCATAAGACCACTGTAACTTTCTGCTATACAATTCTCAAGTACATACATGTATATTTTAATATCTCAGATATACCAGGATGCAATATTTTGAATATTTTGTTTCTGAAGATTATGGTAGCAATTAAGCTTAGCAGTAATTTACTAATACTTGAATAATTTATTCCCTAATTTGAATTTTCAGTGACAATTCTTTTGCATTGGTATTATTTTCAGTGAGCTATAACTATCTTATTTCTTAGGCTATGTAGCAAGCATATAATTTAATTTTTGATTACTATGATAATAATTAGATACAGTACATAATATATGATATTTGTTTTCTTTCTAGGAAAATGGTTCTCCTGAAGAACATGCAATCTATGTGTGGGACCATTTCATAGCCCGGTCTGCAGCTGAGAATGTGTTTTTTGTTGCTCACAGCTATGGAGGACTTGCTTTCGTTGAACTGGTGAGTGTACATTTAACTCTGTTTTTAATTCCCAAACGCTTTACAGGCTTATCCTCCCCCACTCACTTTTAATTGATATCATTACTTAAATTACTTTAAAAAGGATGAAAACAAAATATTGTAAGTAAATAATTTTATAATGCTTAAGAAATGTGTATTTATTTTATTGTGGCAGAGCTTTTCACTGCTAACCAGAAAGCTTTTTGCCTATTCTTTATTTACACATTACTTCTTAATTTCTACAGTATAGAGCATTTTCATACATTTGATGATAATTCTGCTTCCTGTGTTATATGTACAACTATTGAAGCATGTGTTATCTGTAAAATGTTTAAAATTTCAAGAGACCTATTGAATATTGGAGACTCTTTCGTTTATCTTTAACTTTTATATCCACAAGTCAGTACTTAATACTTGATAAGAATTCATGTAATTAGTATTTAAACTATCAGAAGGTTTCCGTTAATCTGCTAAGTGGAATTCATTGTTTGGCTGTAAAAATCTTCACATTTCAAAAAATCTGATTCTTGGAGTTAAGATTGTGTACATTATAGAAAAAATTATCAAGATTTTAAAATTTTGTCTATATCATATGCAGTGTTACAAGTACCACACCTTGTGCCAGTATGAATGGTTAATGGGATATAATCAATACCAAAAATGCACTAATGAAGAATTTATGCCTACATGTCCATAAACCTTATGTTACAAGGAGGTAACAGTGCTATAATAAACTGATTAATTTGATAAAAGTGCATTTGATAATTTTAAATCCAAATAGCCTTACATGAACATTAAAAGCAGGCACAACATTGTTGTCTAGCTTTTGTTTCAAAACTTTGGTGTGCGTTTCTCTTTGTTGTGGAAATTAAATATATTTCCATGGCCTTTTCAACCTCCTCATACCTTATTGCTCACCCACATGATTTAGATATAAAACTGGTGGTGACACCTGGGAATATTTTAGCTGACCTAAATTCACAAATGTTTATGTTCTCTTAAGATTGATATATAAGTTAAATCTTTTACTAAATGGATTTTACTTTTAGAAATTATTTTCAAGTACTTTTAATTCTGCTGCATTTATTTTAATATATAATAGATATTTTAAGATAGCTCTTTAACATACTAGTATGTGAATGTTGTCTTTCAGATGGTTCTTCTAGCCCCTACAGATATAGATCTTTATATACACACACACATACACACATAGCATATATAATGTACCTTACATTTTCTTTGTCAGCCATTAAATTACTTAAACCTTGAAATTTCATCAGCTTGTAGAGTAACTTAAAATATTTCTAAAGCCTGCAAGACTACCCAAATTCCAGATTACTGTTAAACATAAATTCCTCCCCCCTTTTTTTTTACTTTAAGACAGTTTATAAAAGCCTTTTGTACATCAAATTTGGAATTTAAGTGAATATTGGATAGTTTTTAAAATGAACTTAAGATGACAGAGTAACAGATGACCAGTGTGTCAGTCCTATTTTGCCTGTCCTTCTTGTCACACACTGGTGGATATTTCTCCACTTTTGTTCCACTTTAATATAAAGCACACAGATGTTTCAGAACAAGACTTGACTTCTGACCTTGAGGCTATTAGGGTCAGGGTCCTCAGGGCCTGTGAAATTATCACAAGCTGAGCTAAAGTTTTTCTCCATCACAGGAAGTAACCAGTAAGTAAGAAGTTAAAAAGGAGCTTTGTCAGAGAGACAAGATGGTCTCAGTAAGGGTCAGCTTCTGTAGTCTGCTATCTCTGCAGGAGGTGCATGCATGGGAGGAGGAATATAATATAACCACTGGCACATCACATATCTGTCAGGCAACACCAGGACTGAGAAGTCTATTTAATGTAATGTACCTTGTTTAGGTTTTAAAATATTAGTGGCGATTATCTCAACTTCATAATATTTGCTACTTTTTGTGAAGTAACTTTAATGGGGGTATGTTATTAGGGGCATACACATGGTGGCAAATGAAGAAAAAGTGGTTCCTGACCTAATAAAACAGATTCCTCTAAGCAAATAACAATAACAATAACTAAAACCACTAATGAGTTATACATAAATTTTTGACAAAGCTTGATTAATACATTTAAGGCCATTATGTTTCTACTTAATTTCAAAAAGACTTTTAAAAGATAGCATAGTTAAAGAAACAACAAAACCATTGAAATATTTTTAAGCCTTTGCTTTTTTCAGAAAGCTGAATAATATTCTTTCCTATTTTCCCTGATATTCTTGGGGGAAAAGTCATGGTGTTTAAAATGTCGACAAATATTTATTCTCTTGGGATTTTTCAAAATTAGTGTAATGTATAAAATTGTTTTTCATGGATTCAAATTTTAATATTAACTTTACAGAAAAGTGAATTGTGAACATCTTAAATTATGTTTTAGAATTTTGTCTCAATGTACATTAAATCCTTTCAGTAAACTTTGACTTTTTTTGAATTGTCATAAAATTTTACTCCTGCTTAAAGGCTGTCTGTGCACTCCCTCCCTCTCTCTTGCAATTGCTCTCTCTTGCAATTGCTCTCTCTTCCATCCCCCTTCTTTTTGGAGCCGTCCTAGTTTGTAGTATCATGTTTGAATGCATGGAGTTTGTTTTTGTACCACTCTCATATTATCATATTATAAAATGTATCTTGCCATTTAATTAAAGTAAAATTGTGAATAACTGTTAAAATTAAATGTGCTGCTAATAGATATCTGAAAATAAATTAGTTTTACATTTAGAGCACAAAATATTTGTAGGACTTTCATATTTTCCTAATTGTTGTTTTGAAAACTGAGAACATTTATGATTATGCCCTATTTTAAATTGTTAAGTTTCTCCTGAAAAATTCATTATAATTAAGAGGTTTCTTTTCAAAACCAATGCTCATTTTATGGTAGTAAATCTTGGAACTTGATCAGACCTAACTTCATAAAAACAGTATACAGTTTACTAAAATAATGAGAAAAGTGATACTAAAAATATCCTTTTCACTGCATTTATAATGACATATGGTAACAACCCAAATTTCTAATTCTCTAAACTTTCTGTGATCCTTGTAAAAATAGACGTTAAGACAGCTCTGGTAGCAATTCCAGCATTCACTCATTAAAGACAAAGGGAAGACAGGAAGAACTATCTATTTTATGCGTTGGCAATGAATTTTAAAAATGTATCTGTCCAATGTTATCTTTTCTGTGTATTGAAGTAGTTCCAATATACAAAGTTAGTTATTAAACCTTCATTTACAAAGTCTTAAATTTCTGTTTTTAGAAATTCTGTGTTATATATGATAGAATTAGTAGTCATAACTAAAACGCATTTACCAAATTCATTCAGAAAGACATCTACAAATAATGAAGCTTACTTTTGCCTTATATTGTTAAAATTCAAACTCATTTTTGAAAATTAACTGTCATTAAAAACAATACAGTTTTAAGCTTTTCATCATCTCTTTCACTAGCCACTTTGATGAAGTGATTCCATTGCTTACATTGTTGGTCATTTCAAAGTGCTTTGCTCTTGTCTTTCTAGCTGATAGTTTGACAAAATCAAGCAACCTTAAAATTTTCTTTTATTTGGAAATAAGTTAGCTTTACTTGTCTCAATGCTCAGTTTCCAGTCTCAGCTCACCTTACCGTCCATGTTTGCAGTGCTCAATAAATCAATTTGCATTCAGATTTCTTTCTTTAGCCAAAGTGAGAGTGTTGATACATTTTTTTTATGAAACACATTAAACAATTTTAGCAGATGTATTTCATTAGTTTATTGAATCACCTTAGCCGATATAAAATTATTATTATTTTTCTTATGGCTTTTATTTCCTTTTCCATATTATTAGTGATATGTTCACAACCACCACTAAAAACATCACTTAAAATGTGTGAAAACTGCTCCTTTTGAAAGTGTATCTCTACCCACTTTTGATTTTGGTTTTTCCATGCTTGTCAGCACTTGATTGGCACCTCACTTGCATGTGAATTAAGGAATGAAGGGAACGCTCTTTCCCTGCCATTGTTCCATGCTGGGCTCCTGAGCCTCCAGGCAGCCTAAGCTGACCTTCAGCAGCTGATAGAGGACTAGTTTTTGGACATAACTGTGGGAGGACACTTAAGCTCAGTCTTCTCTGGGTCAGTCTTTTAAAAAAATCGCCTGAAGCATGATTTGGATTTACTCTGAAGAGAAAATGGAATGGGACTAAAAGTATTCAGTTTTACCTTGAGTGACATCAGCTAACTGTGACCTTAAAGAAGCATCAGTTACATTTTGTCTACAAAGAACAAATAAATTAGATATTGGTAGTATATCTGTATACTAGTATATAGATATTGGTAGTAATGTGATCAGTGGGAAAAACTAAAAATTGTGTGGGCTACTGGGAATCAAGTATTGAGGAAAGGTAGAAGTAAGGGATAAAACAAAGAAAAATTGAGCCATAATAGTATCAAGGTAATTCAGGCCAAAAATACTTCTTACAAACCTACTTTAAAATACTGGTAATACAGCAAAAATAAGTTGCCATTTGTAATATAACTTGAATTTCTGATTTGGTTGCCTACATGATACAAACAGCATGTTAATGTATGGGATGATTACAACTTGTGTGGAATGCTCTCTTAATTGTTGAGTTATTTTATAGGAAGATCGTTTAGTTTAGTTTCTATAACTATTTTCTATGCTCCTTAAAGAGAAGAATCGGAGGTTATATTATTTTTATCTCCTCTATTCACTTTTATTTCATGTCTTGAATGTAGTGTAGATACTATCTTTTGATTGATTGATGGTAACACTAATTTTAGGAGTTAGTTGCAAGAATCCAAGTGAGATCCAGTGAAGGGCTTTACCCACATAGAAGTAGTGAGAGTAAGCAAGCATTCGAGATGTTAAGGAGGAGATTCTCTATGGCTTAGTGACATTGGATCCAGAAAGCTGAATGAAAAGAAAAAGGGTATAGTTTATCCTTCCCCCATGCACACCATATCAAAGAGGATATAAAAG